GGAGGTTGTAACTTTATTATTATTATTTTTAAATATATCTTTGTTGATTTCAGAGAGAGGAAAGGAGAGGGAGAGATAGAAACATCAGTGATGAGCCATTGATCGAGCCCGCAACCCAGGCATGTGCCCTGACCGGGAATCGAACCACAATCGCCTGGATTCTAGGTCGACACTCAACTGCAGAGCCACGCCCGGCCAGGCATCTTTTTTTAAAATGAATTGGTTGAGGTAGTATTGGTTCACAAAAGCATACAGGTTTCAAGTGTTCAACTCAACAAAACATCATCTGCACACTGCATCACGCACCCATCATGATTTCTTGATACATTTTTTTAAGGTTCAATTCAGTTCCTATCTCCATGAAGCCTTCCCTGGCCCCACTTATCTTTTCCTTCTTTGAACCCAAAAATCAGCTTTATTTTTTTCCACACTCTATGTTTGTTTTATTTATTGAACACAAACCATAATAAGGAGAACAAGTAATCGAACCTAACCCAGAACTGACACAGGTAATAGAATTAGAAGTGAAGGACATTAGAAGTTATTTTAACCGCCCAGGTGGCTCCATTGGTTGGAACATTGTCCCATACCCCAAAATGTTGAGGGTTCAATCCTGGTTGGGGTGCATATGGGTTGGCAATCAATCGATGTATCTCACATCAATGTTTTTCTTTCTCTCTCCCTTTGTCTCTAAAACTCAATTAAAAAAACAACACACCAAACCACACATCCTCAGGTGAGGATTAAAAAGAAAGTTATTATAACTAGATCTTATATGGTCAAACGTTAAGACATGGAAGACATATCAGTATCTAAGATGACAAATACACTGGGTGGAATTAACAATAGATTAGATATTGCAAAAGTAATGAATAGTAAACTTGAAGGCATAGCAATAGAAACAATCCAACATGAAACACAGAGGGGAAAAAAATAATTTTTAAAAAGTAAAAATGGCAATTGGAGATCCCAAAAGCAAGGAGGAGCTGGGGACAGAAAATATATGAAGAAATAATGACTAAAAAATGCCCAAACTATAAACCTATAGATCTGTGATGGTTAATTTTGTGTCAACTTGGCTAGGCTATTGTGCCCAGTTGTTTGGTCAAACACCAGTCTAGATGTTGCTGTGAAGATATTTTTTATTTATTTTTCTTTTTTAAAAAATATACCTTTATTGATTTCAGAGAGAGGAAGAGAGAGGGAGGGAGAGATAGAAACATCAATGATGAGAGAGTCATTGATTGGCTGCCTCCTGCACACCCCTGACCGGGCTCCGATCGCTTGGATCCTAGGTCGACGCTCAACCACTGAGCCACACCCGGCTGGGTTGAAGATATTTTTTAAATATAATCTTTAAATGAGTACACTTTGAGGAAAGCAGATTAACTCCATAATTTAAGTGGGCCTTGTCTAATCAGTTGAAGGCCTTAAGAGAAGGAATTCTACCAAGTCTGCCTCCAGGTTCAAGACTGCAACATCAACTCTTCCTGAATTTCCAGCCTGTCAACCTAGTCTACAGATTTCAGACTTGCTGGTCCCCACAACCATGTGAGCCAATTCCTTAAAATACCTATCCATCTATTGATATAGCCACATACATCCTACTGGTTGTTTCTCTGGTGAACCCTAATACAAAATCTAAGAAGCTCAAGGAACTCCAAGTACAAGAAAAAGGCACATCAAAATCAAATTGCCAAAAACCAATAATAGGAAATCTTAAAAGCAGTGAGAAAAAAAGACTATGCACAGAGGAGGAAGCCGAGGATAAATGCAACATTTATGTACAGAGAAACAGGAACAAGGATGCAACCAAGAAGACAGTGTGGAGCGACATTTCTAAAGTCCAGCAAAATCATATCTAGTAAAGTATATCCAACAAAAACATCTTTCAAAATTAAGGTGAGATTAAAGAATTTTCAGACATACAAAAGCTGAAAGGACTCAACGCCATCAGACTGTTAAAGGAAGACCTTTGGGCAGAAGGAAAATACTAGATGAGAATCTGGATCTACACAAAGGAATTAAGAGCACTGAAAATATAACTTGGGCAAATATATAAGATTAAAAAAAAACACAATTTGAAGACAATTGCCTGTTTAAACAAAAATAGTAATGCATTGTGGGTTTTATAACATATAAAATATATGACAATAATAACAGACTGTGGAGTGAGAATGTACATTTGTTATACTGTAATAAATGAAGTGGTCTCTCAGTTGAATGTGGACTCTGATCAAAGTTAAAGGTGTATACTATAAACCCAAAAACATACAAAAATAACAAAAAGTTATGGCTAGTAAGCCAATAAATATAAGATGTAATAATAATAAAAAACCCCCCACAAAACTCATTTAAAAAAAGAGGCAGAAAGAGGACAAATAAAGAACAGATAAGACAAGTGGAAAACAAGTACCAACCAGTGTGGTCAGATGGGTGCTAGACATACACAGGTGACCACTTCGTAAGTTATAGAAATGTCTAATTACTGTTTTACACCTGAAACCAATATATTGTCAACTGTAATTGAAAAAAATGTTAAAAAGAAAACTTAAGACTCAAACCTAAGCACAAACCTAATACGGTCTAAACAGAGTACCTACTTTACAGAGGTACATGGAGTATTAGGTGAAACAATGTACATATAATCTTACCAAACTGCCTTGTTCAAAGCTAATAGTATATTATGATATGGTTTTGGAGTCAGGTCCAAATCCTGGTTGTTACTTACTAGTTAGGGGATCCTGGGCAAGTTACTAATCACAATTCTCCCCTTTTACCTTTCCTGGAAAGGTAGGGTGGGCTCTGGGTGAGATAAGCCTGGTTTAGTAGTAAATGAATGATGGTACTTCATTCATTCAACAAAATTTTTTGAATTCTATATCCTTAGTTGTTTACTTGAGAAGTCTGAGAATTCTATTTAACAAGCTCATTGTACTTGTGAGACTAAGCTTTTCATAAATATTTAACTCATTTAATTCTCATTGCAACCCCAATAGGTAGGTACTTTTATCATCCCCATTCTGTGGGTGAGGAAATTGAGGCTGAGATTAAGTGGCTCACCCACAGCCACATACATAGCAAGTGGTGGTATCAGGATCCCAACCTAGGAAGTGAGACTCCAAGTTTGGCAACACATACGAATTGCCTACATGCAGAAAAAAGGCCAGAAAAGCCGGTCTCAAAGTCTAGACAGGCTTGTTGCAAGATAAAATTTAGCAGAAAGGGTGGGACCTACAATACCTGTTGACACCTTTGCTTCAGCTCTACATCAGATGTGTACAGGTATTTCCTGTCCAGCACTAGTTACCCAGCCTATCTTGAGAATTTGTACTAAACATAATCTTTCTCTGGTTTTGGGGAAAAGTTAATACTGAGCACCTCCCCTCCAAAGACAGTATGTGGTAATGGTACCAAAATGAGAACTGGACACTGGGCTGGTCCTGGGGATAAAACAGATCCTTCCTTGCACATGGCTCCCCTCCAGCAAGTCTGCCGGGGTTTGATAGTTTGTGCAGAAGCTCCACTTCCTAGTTGAGAATTTGGGCAATTTAGCCTGTTCCTGAGTTTTCCGGTCTGAAACTGGGTTAGATTAATGCCCACTTCAGAGCTGCAGGGATTAACATATGCAAATGTTTAGAACCAAGTACAGTGAGTGCTACTTGTTTAGGCAGATAATCTAGATGTTGCTGTATGGCAGGGATGGGTGGTGAAACATTAACCTAAGAATTTATAGGCATAAACCATAGACACAGACAAGTGTGAAGGCCTGGAACAGGGGGTAAATAAAAGGGACATTCGTAATACTTTCAACACTAAAAAAAGAAAAAACCAAGTTCTCCCAGGCTGTTTTCCATAATCATGAATATATGAAATAGCTCCCATTCCCAAATTATCCTCTGGCCCCGAACAACATTTATGAGAAACTGTCCATTCTGGATATTCCCATCAGTTTGGGCCATAACCGAACAATTAAAACTCCAAATTCACCCACTTCACTTAAATCTGACCCCAAGGGTTCTGGTTATTTTACCTCCCCACACCATGTTCATTTAGCCCCACCAGGATCTAGACTTTACCTTCTAGATGATTCCCTGCTAGTTCCCCATCCTTCAGGACCCACCACCTCCCTACAATGCTAGCAGCCTACACAGGAGCTTGACAAGTATTCCATTGTGACCCAACCTCACATCACTCATGGCAACTTTCTTCCAGGCTCAAGTGTTCACTACTTGGACAACGACAGGGATACACACAGGACAGACAAGAGCTACGAGTCTTTAGAACCAATCAGGTATTAACTGCTGTAGCACTCCATCCGCGGAACACTACTTTTGGCTGACGTCAATCACACACTTCCACATAAAGAAAGAAATCACACTAATACGCATAGTCACCTTTATTATAACTCATAAATACATCAGAAATAGATCTTTAATAAAAATAAAATAAAAAAGACATCTAGGTTCTCATGGGCTTCTGCTTTCTGTTCATTTAGCTATGCAGTTAAAAAAAAAAAAGAACTCTGAGGATGAAAAAGGGTAAGTAGCATTTTAGTTCCAATTTTTTGCCCCACATTCTGAAAAGTCCTCTGGGCCTTCTAGGTCCAAGGACTATGCTCAGTGTCTTCTGTAATTCCTTAAAAATTTCAATGGGCTACCTGTCCAATGGAACATTTTATTAGTCTGCCAGTTAATACAGATCGGGGGCTATGACCGAGAATGTGCATTTGTCTTCCTAGTCCCTGTTTTACTCCAAAGGCAGTTACTTATTTTCCAAAAATGGTTATCACTTTACCAACTCTCCCTGTCAAACAGAGGAAAGCATTGTCAACTGCCAAAACGGTGAGGCGGCTCCTCTTCCTTCCTGAATGAAAAGAGAAAAAGGGATTAGACTGATATTCAGATCCTTAAATTTTAAAAAATTCTACATTTTAGCGTACTAGTNTTAAATAAAGCACCTTAATAAGGCTCTTTTGTGTTCGTGTTTTTTCCCTAGAGAGATGTTTCCTGCATGGTTTGTCTCCTCAGTCATTGTCCACAGGACTCTGAGAAGCTGTAGGAATATGCAGGCGCAGACTCAAGGCCCGGCTTTCTCTCCAACGTCGTGGAAAGGGACTGTACATCACGGGGCAGAGCCCTATGCTCCCCTGCGCCACCTGGACAGAGCCCGGGGAGAGTGACCTCCCGGGGTATCCACGTCGGGAGTGCCTGATCAATTATAAGCTGGAATTAAGGACAGCACTGCTGAACAGTATTTACCCCTCAAAACCTTGTAGAGATTTCATTTTTCTTCACTCCCCACACTACATGTAGCTGTGGGGAGAGCCTGTTGATTAACTATTTTTAAATCAATTCCAAACTTGTCACTATGTTCTCCTTCATGGTTTACCTACTTGATCACGATCATTCACTGTAGGAGTATGCAGACGCACATGCCCAGCTTCAACCCCAGCACCATGAAAAGGGATTGTTGAGACCAAACCCTTCTCCTGGGGATGGGCTTTGAGGGGGCATGCACATCACATGACTCATGTAAATTTCACCAGGGTGACCGGTTAAGTCAGTCCAAGCTATCACAATTTTTTAAATTTGCTAAGTAGAAATTTCTCCTCTATATCACGTAAGAATGAAAGATGTAAAAATCTTAGCAGTCTTACTGGAAGGAGCATCTCCCCAGAACATGAACATATATCTAAAATACTGCCAACATGCCTACAAAGATGTAGCAAAGTTTCTATCTGGATGTATTAACCAGCAATAGCACCTTCATGAAGGGGGACTGAGCTCAGAATGATTAAACGTCTTTTGCAAAATGCTGACAGGCAAAACCAGTAAGCCAAAAGCAATTCAGATTTACTCACCCCAAATCAAGTTATTTGGAATCTTGACCGAAGGCTGCAAAACAAGGTAGATAAAGAGCTTAACCCGAAGTTCAGTAAAACTGACTAAACATTTCATTTCTGATCAACCTATATACAGATAAGGTGCTCTAGAGCAGCGATTTTCAACCTTTCATATAAACTACTAAAATTCTGCAGCACACCCAAAAATATTTTTAGAAAGGTATTAATTTTGATTCATTCACAACCAATGGTTTTCGTGTTGGCTGTTGTCATGTTTTTTTAGCTGACAATCTAGCGGAAAAGCAGTCAGTGCCCCAGACTTAGTAGTCAGGTACCGCATGTTTTTACAAATTCTTGTGGCACACCGGTTGAAAAATCGCTGCTCTAGAGAGATGTTTCCTGCATGGTTTGTCTCCTCAGTCATTGTCCACAGGACTCTGAGAAGCTGTAGGAATATGCAGGCGCAGACTCAAGGCCCGGCTTTCTCTCCAACGTCGTGGAAAGGGACTGTACATCACGGGGCAGAGCCCTATGCTCCCCTGCGCCACCTGGACAGAGCCCGGGGAGAGTGACCTCCCGGGGTATCCACGTTGGTCACTACAATTTAATTTAGATTGCTGTGCTATAAATCGATTTCATCCAGACGACAGCGACTTCCCAGGGATATCCTCGTTGGGGTGGATCTTAAACTCCCCCAAATCAACAGAACTCGAGTTCAAGACTGATCAACAGTATCCTAAACTAATTTTCAGCCAGGCACCGCAAACATCCAGAAACTACAATCAGCGACTGGCAAAGAAACGGTAAGTACGGAGCCGTTTAGACAGCAGTTAGTCTTCGTATTTTAAACCGATCATCAGGACTTGTGAAATTATCCTAAATGTTAAAACAAACTGGCAGGACTAAGATCCGTCAGTCCCGAGGACAGCGAGACTCCTAGGAGGCAGGGCATTGGGGGCGGGGAAGGGGCTGCGTTTTTAGCGTCTCAGGGAATAGGGTGGTATTTCGGCACTCGTGCCCCTGGTCATGGCCACCACCCGCGCACCATATCCGACCCAGCCCGACTGCACGAGTAAAGCGTAGTTAACACGACGCCGCTGGAGGCAATCCTAAACTGTCACCTCCACAAGGTAGGCTGGTTGGCAGGACTGGGATAATAGGCCTAGAACTGACAAAGCAGGCGGCTGAAACCACTCACCGATCACCTCCACGTTCACAGGGCAAAGGTCTTCCCTTAAAAGGCCGAGCAAGCCCAAGGCGTCCTTATTTATACCTTTTGAAGCGAGCGGATATGGCTATTGCGCCTGCGCTGCGCCATGCGCAGTTAGGGAATCAGAAATCCGCCGAGGGGGCTCGGAATCTACGAGCGGCTAAGCCCCACCCCTGCCCGGACCAGAGGATTCTCGCGACACCTGAGCCTTCACGCGCGACTTTGCTGGGGAATGTAAATTACAGGAAGTGAGTAGAATGTGTAGGTTGGTAGAGAAGTTTCCAATGGCGAGTGAACTTCTCTACACTCAGTTCACCCCATTTGGAGAATGTGCCGTTAAATAAACTCGCCAAAAATAACTTCGGCGTAATAAGTATGCAAAATAGGAAAAGACATCTAGAGAAGTGGGAAAAGTCTCAAAAGAGATTGAATCTGCCCTGTCACAGGTGAAATAAACATTTGATAAATGCGTATGTAAGTAAGACAAGTGCTCCTAAGCGAATTGGCTACAGTGAAAAGCCTCCTATGCACAACAATGTGAATGTACAAGACTATTGAACTGTACACTTACAAATGGTTAAAAAGGTAAATTTTTTGTTAAGTACATTTTAACACACACACCTAATATAAAGAATTAGGCAAGTAAAGAATTCTGAAGATACATATTATAGTGAGATGTTACAAATGTGATAGAATTTCGAGTATAGTGTTAGGTGGATAAGTATTAGATAAATTGACATAGAGCCATCACAGCTGGACTATAACGAATAGAAACATTTATGGTGTTCCTCTTAGATTTTGTGCTGGGTGTTTTACATCATTATTTACTATCACAGCAATTCTAAAACATTAGTATTATTCAGATTTTAAGATGCAAAACAGGCCCAGAGCAGTGGTTCTCAAAGTGCAGTTAGCAGACACTGAGGTCCCCGAGATTCTTTTGGGGGTCCATGAGGTCAAAGCTGTTTCATAATAATACTTTCTTTGCCTTTTTCACTGGATTGATTCTGCACTGATGTAGAATGAAATCGTGGGTAAACTTGCCTGGTGCCTCAGTATATTTCAAGGCCCTCTCACCAAACTGTACTGGTAGTTTTTTTCATCATAAATTTGCAATTTTTTAGAAAAGTTCCCTTAAGAATGTCTTTGATGAAATAATAATCATTAATTTTATTCTTTAAAAAAAAAAGTCTTTATTGATTTCAGAGAGAGGAAGGGAGAGGGAGAGGGAGAGAGAGAAACACCAATGATGCAAGAGTCATTGATCAGTAGCCTCCTGGACACCTCCTACTGGGGATGGAGCCCGAAACCCAGGCGTGCGCCCTGACTGGCAATCAAGCCAGGATCTCCTGGATCACAGGTCAATGCTCGACCACTGAGCCACTCCCACCAGGCTAATTTTATTCTTGACTTTTGAGTATACATCTTTTTAATATTCTGAGTGACAAAGGGAGAAATATACATAAAGCACTTTTGCTGCATGCCAAAGTACAGTGATTATCTCCAGGAAGAGAACTTAGGTGTTTGAATTGTGAGCTGAAATAGCCATATTTTTTCATGGAACAGCATATACTTGAAAGAACGGCTGACATCTTTATCAACTGTGTGAGACTGGATTTTCTTCATTTATTTAAACCCAAAGAGTATACAATAACAGACTGAATGCAGAAGCGAATATGAGAATTGAGCTGTCTTCTATTAAACCACAAGTTTAAGAGATTTTCAAAAAATGTAAAACATTGTCACTTTTTTCACTATTTTTGGACAATAGATATTTTTCATAAAAATTCATTGATGTTAGTGTGCAATAGGTTATTTTGAAAGGTATTGTTAGTATTTTTAAAATTCCTGTTTTAATTTTAGTACAGTAAGTATCAATAGATATCACCCACAGATACAAAAATTCTTTGGGACTCCGAATAATTTTTAAAATTGTAAAGGAGGCACAAAACTAACGTGTTTGAGAACCAATAGTTTAGAGGAAGGACTACAAATAATCCTGCTACTTCTCTGGTGATATTACCAGCATTCAGTTACCTTTCAATCACTCATTCAACATTTACTTAGTGGATATGACTTATTTGCTGGGCATTGTGCTAGACACTGGGGACTCTAGATGACACACAACAGCAAATTATGCTACTGCTTGATGAGTGCTATCTTGCATAAATAAAGTATTGTGAGAACACAGAGGACAGAGCAACTGAACAATATGCTAAAGGTAAGAGGGTTTTCCTGGGGAGTTAAAATTTGAGCTAAACTTGGAGGAATCGTTAAGGGGGCTGGGTAAGTAGTGGGGCATGGATGATGACAGCTTTCCAGGCTGAGGAACTAGGAGACCTATGATATCCCAGGAAGGGTAAGAAGTCAGCTTGATGAGGGACATTAAAGGGAAAATTGCCTGGGTTTTTCATGAGACTGGAAAATAGGCAAGAATATAATTACAAAATATTTTGTAGTCCAGGTTGAGTTTAAATTTTATCTAGGTAACTAGAGGCCGATAAGTTTTGAAGTAAAGGATTGCTGTGACTGTCTGTGCATTTTAGAAAGTTAATTCTAGTGGCAATATTGAAGGACGGGAGACTGGAGGTTATAAAATCCTCCAGACTTTGGATCTGAATGGTAAACAAGCAAGAGGAGACATAAATGAAGAGACGTTTTAGGTAGGGAATACTCAGAACTTACTGTCCTACTGGACCTGCAAGGTAAGAGAGGAACTTGCAGATAATACCAAAGTTTCAGGCTGGGGAGGCTCAACATATGGTGGTCTCTAACTCTGATAATTGAGAAAGTAGGCTGTGGGGTAGACATTAGAGGAGCATATAACTTACGTTGTGAACATTTGGACATACACAGGGATGAGAAAAAGTAGTTTTACAGTTGTAATACAAATAAATAATTTATAATACAAGTAAGTAATTTGTAATACAAATAATAGAACTATAAGCTCACTGTTTCAGGTACTCAAACTGTAAACCTACTTTTGCCCACCCGTGTGTGTGTGTGTGTGTGTGTGTGTGTGTGTGTGTGTGTGT